TTCATCATGGAGAATCAAGAACATCTCCAAAATTGTTATTCTAAAATTATCCTTAATTCCATTATTTTCAATAACAGAATATAACAGAAAAATTGCTTACTGCAAAATTGCACATCAGGTTCTTGTTAACTGTTAAAAACAAAAGAACAAATGATTTTTGTCATGAACTGTATATACAATTACTATTGCATCACCATTGTTCAAATTCCATTCTAAGCAAAGATCTTGTACAACACAACGTTGAAATAGAAAATCTGTACAGCTTGAAACATGAGGCAATGTACAGCATGTGAAACAAACAATACTGCTATTCAAAAAATACGCAGCAGCTTACTCCCCCAGGTTTGTTAAAGTGAACTGTCATACTAGACATATACACAATTTTGTGCTGAAACACCACTTGTAAGGCACCTGAACAACAAATAATAAAATAGAAATATACCTTTTCTCTTTTAGTGCCTGCATATTTAACCATTCAAAGTAGAAACCAAACTTTTTTTTCAAGTACTAATTTCCTTTTGTAGTGAGCACTATGACAAAATTTTCATTTCTGTGGGGGGGGGGAGGTTCCAATAAATGCCATGCAATCTTAGCCATACTTCACACTTACACATCACAAAATCTAACTATTGTCTATTATAATGCAAGTGGAAAGGATACTACCTTGCTATGTGTCTGTTTAACTGATTGAAAAAAAAGAGGAGGTATTGGTTTAGCGTCAAAATGGGTAATCTAGTGGAAAAGGATGGTTCAAGATATTTTAGTCTTCAAAATATCTACTTCAGATCTACTTAGGTTGAATCTCCCCGTGTCTACGACTCAAAAGCAAAACCAATGATAAATACAATCATCATTCGCATTAATCATTAATAATAAGTAATTACAACACTTTTTTTTTTGGCTGTGTCTTGCAAAATTGAACCAATGAAACCATTGAAAGTAACATGTATTTGAGGAGAAATAATATTACTTTTGTAATCTTCAATTGTCCTCCTTTAAACCACTGCAACTTAGCCCGCTACTTTGCATTAAATATTTTTATGTAGCCTCAGGATATGGACAAAAATAACCCTATACTTTTCCAAACGTAAGACTAAAATAAGGCATAGATGAGGAAATACAGAATGGGGATAGAGGAATACAATGTAAATATACCTCCATAGTCATCTTGTTAGTCTGCGGTCCTCATCGACTCCTGCAAACATAGAAGTGAAAATAGAGGATATTGTTCTTCGTTCAGATGAAAAACAAAAAAGAAAATACCATTTGGCTGTTAAACATAGAAAACTGAGCATATCACATGAGGATCCATTATTGAATACCTTGCAAGAATCCCTGAATCTATCAACCCCATCTTCGACGTGTGGAGAGACTTTAAAATCTCTAAAAGCAAGGGAATCCCTTCTTCAGTGACGTTGACCGTAGGCTAATATAAGAGATGGGATGAGAAGGAAGACCTCCTTGGTGTATTGAACCGCAATTTGTACAACGACTATGAAGAAGAAGAAGAAAGTGATGATGAAGGAAGGAAAGGAAAGCCAAACGGAGGGAGCCTATAAGAAGATTAGATGCCGAGAGAAGTGAGACGAAAGGTGAGAGAAAAGCCTTATGGAGGACAGAGGTTGAAATGTCAAATAGCTACGGTAAGAGAGAAGAGGCAGTAGGGATAGCATTAAATGTCTGAAAATTCTAGGACAGAGAGATATCAGAACGCATAACGCAGAACGCGGAGCAGGAGGTTATTTGAATTTTGAAATTTGAAATTTGACATTTACAATATTTAAATTTTAAATATTAATTAATTTTGAATACGAGGATACAGAACAGTTGTAAAAAAATTCAACAACCTAAAAGAGATTTTTTTTTCCTAAAGAGGATGAAAAATCAAACCTGAAGCAAGCATAACCTTCTGAAGATCCTTACAGAAATAGAAGAAGGATGGTGGGAGAGAATAGAAACGAAGAAGAGGAGAGGAAGAACGGATATAGTAGTATATATGACGTAAAAAAAAAAAAGAAGATAAGAACTCAAATCATGAAGAAAGCCTACCAGATGTCTCTCTCATTGTGCTTTAGAAACTTTACAATAACCGCGCATCGAACCTTCTTATTTTTCCCCGTTAATTACAAATCCGAAGAAATTTCAGCGATTGTGAAGAAAACATGACATTACCCTTGCTCTTCTTCATCTCCTAGAGAGAATACATAGATGAGAAACTCATCTGTCATGTAAATCATAGTTGAGCTTTAGTTGCGTCAATATGGCAAGATCTGAGCAACTTCATTCTTAGATCAATGTCGCAGAGTGAGATGAGTTCAAACAGAATAGTAGAGCTGCCTCGAGCAAATAAGAAGAAATCAGAGATAGAACACATGTTTTTGTTTTCTTCCTCGATGAACTGCAAGAAATGATTGGAAAACCTAATGAGAGGGGCCAAAGAAAAACAAACCAAAGAACAACAAAGAAAAGTGAAATCAGCGAAAGGAAAATAAAATAAGAGGACGAAGGGGAAAGAGCATAAATGAAAGGAATAATAAAAGAAGATTACAAACATTTTGAATGTGATAAAATGGCATTGAGACTCCTAAAAGGAGTCGTGAAGAGATAGAGGGAGATGAGATTTAAAATTTGAATTTAGAAGTGAGTACATGTGGTAATGAAAAAGTGAGAGGTAATGCCTCATGTGAAAAAATGACAGAGAGAGGCGGATGATAAAACTCGATAAAAGGGAAAACATAATAAGACTGAGAGAAAGGTACAGAACAGTAAGCCACAGTCCAAAGCCCAATGCATATCATTTATTATGATTAGCTTGACAGAAGCCCAAGAAATAAGCTTATTTTAATGAGCATGGCTTGTGAACAGTAATTCGTGTCTGAAGCCGGTGCTAAGCCGTTTTTGGATGTGGCTTGGTAGAAGAGTATTTATATATATATATTGATATTGATTGTTTTTATTGTCTCAAAATAGTATATATTAATTAAATATATATTAAATTTTTTATTGGTCTAGTCAAATAATATTATTGAATCTTTGAGACTTCTATTGTCTATGCTGGCGATCCAATTTCCTGGATTCCTGTACATTGGACTGAACTCGACTTTACAGTCGAAGTGATTTCTCGAAGAAGCAAGCAGAGAAGTGGTGGGCCGAACACGGAGCCGACGCAAAGGAGCGGCACACTGTTGTTTCCTTGTAAGGGAGTGCATCAAAGGGCCGAAAGAATCTCCAATATTACTTTGTTTTTTGAAAACTGTAAATACTTCTCCGGTCTTTAATATAAGATCTAATTATTGAGTTAGTTTTGATTCTAAATATAAGATCTATTTCTCATATTTATCAGTTTTTTCTAAATTACCCCTATAAATATTCTCTCAACCATAATCAAGTAAAAGAGAGAGAGGAGGTATTAAGAAAGATGATTACAGTATTTTAGGAAAAATATGTCACATTTCTTATCATTAATTAACTTACCTAACTTCTTTAATCTAATCAAATTAGTTAAATGAGTATTATATTAAGGAACGAAAGAGTACTATTTTTTACTTTTCTCCATATTATTGGTCCCAGTTAAAAAAACATGAGATTAATGGACACATGTAAATTTTTTTCCCTTCTTCCCTTCCTTGTGAATGCCACCAGAAAATGTTAAAAGAGGAGGCAGGATTACTTGTTTGTACTATCTTGGGCAATGGGTAGCTACCTTTAAGCTAGTGCAAAACTGCAATTAAATGTGCATGCCCCGCTCACTCAAAAAAAAAAAAAATTGCGCACGTCCCGCTCCTGAGGAGCATTTTCTTTAGCCACTGCAAAGTAAATTTGTCATAGGAACTCGGAATCATCTACTGATGGCTTTTAGGCAATTAGCTTATCCCTTAATTTCATTGGTTCCATCAGAGCATTTGCTGACACATCCGAACCTTTATCCAATTATTGTTGCCAATTAACTCAACTTGTGCTGGCATGGTAAAATATTAACGAGTTAGATTTTAAAAAATAGGATTAAAAGGTTTTAATTAATTTTATAATATTACTTCTCTTTATTAAAATTTTAAAACCCCACTTTTCCAATATTTTAAATAAAACTCATTGAAATTTTTCCTCTCCTTCCCTCCCCTCCATTTCTTTCATACCAAACAGTACCTAACTCAACTCTCCAAAAAAGGGAACATAATTCCCGTAAAAATCAATTATAAATTCACAATGGAGAGATTTTTGTACAATAATGTGATACTGCTCTTGTCCTGTTCATAAGTCGATTTTATATATTTTATACAGACCAATGAAAATATTAAATTCAATCATTCTACTTTAAAATTTAACAACTTTCTAATTTTATTCCTACATAATATATAATATACCATATGAGAACAAAATCAATATAATAATAAATAAACAGTAAAATTGCACATTCATATAAAAACTCTCTCTTTGCCTTCTAAATAGAACTAAAAATTTTAAATGAGAATTAATAAAATTTAAAATTCTTATTAATCTGTGTGAAATATGTTAAAAATAACTTATAAATAAAACTAAAACAATATTTGGTAGTGTTTCAATATAAAAATAAATACTTTAGCCCATTCTCCAATAATTGGTGAAGACACTTGGTTACCATTAACCAATCAGAAGACCAAGTAATGTTTTTTTTTTTTTTTTGAAGTAAAGAGAATTTCAATAAATAAGAAAGTGTATGTACAGCCGTTAACAAGAAAAGACCAAGTAATGTTTAATTAGCCCAACGAACGCAAAGTCCACTCTAGATCTTGGATAAAGTTGTTATTTCAATATAGGAATCAGGAATTCCGTTTTCCCAGACAGTTTAGTTACGTCTAACTAATTAGAAGACCAATCAATGTTTTCTTTTTTTTTTTTCCCCGTATAAAAGAATCTCTTCAAATCACTTTGGACATAAGATTAATCCTTGTCACGCCAGGAATCTAAGATTAAAACCCTCCAAACAAGGGTGCTTCCCGGTTTAATTAGTCCACCCAACCACCGCAAAGTCCACCTTAGATCTTGGATGAAGTTTTTATTTCAATATAGGAATCGGGATATCCGTTTTTCCATGCATCTTCGACATCCCGACAGGCCAGCATAAAAATTCAAGAAAACAAATGTCGTGAGGTAAAAGAACAAACCCACTCATGACCCATGAAACACACTGCGTAATCTCATTCCATAAAAGTGCATGAGTTGGAATTTTGAACGCAAAACCTCATGCTGGGGCATCGAGATTCAGTAAAACATAGTACTTTCATCTCAAGTTTGCTATAACTGTGAGGTTTACGCTGTTAACGAGAATCACAACAAATACTTACCTTCCCTCAAGGTAAGTCTTCTCCACTGAAGTCTTGTCCTCCTTGAAGGGCTGAGTAGATGCATCAGATAGGGCAGGCACTCTAGAAACACTACCTTTTCCTTTCTTAGCATTTGGTCCCACGACCTCTATCATGTATTTCCATCCGTCTATCGGTCTTCGCCGGCTGAAAATATGAGTCTTTATAAAACTAGCAATCTGCATACCAGAATAAATTCATAAACTCCATGATCAAAGATTTTCATAAGCAATATCAATGCTCAAATTAGGATTAGCAAGGCATAAATTCGACTTATAGTTGAGTGCACCTGAAACTTGCAATAAGCAATCCGGCGATCAAATTCTTGGAGTAGAATATCTTCTTCTCTCTGCGACATCTCCCATATATTTCCATCTGGAGTTTTTGCTGTCGTTTCCCAACCATCGGGAGCATTTTTTAGCTCAGAAGAACTTGGAACTTTTGCATTGTTTAGATCATTGTTGCCAGAATAAAAAATGCTACAGTTGTCCAAAGCAAACAGATTAACATTCACAAATAATATATATTGTGAAAGACAGACGAAAATTAAAAGCATATAAAAGGTTAAACAATATAAAATTAAGAGGTGATCAAAACCAACAGTCTCCCTTTATAATCTGTCATTTCTTAAGCATTTGCTACATTTCTCAGAAAGCAATCACGGTACTGTGGCATCTTAATTCCTGAAGACAAATTATTCCCCCAAAAAAAAAAAAAACAGAGAATTAAACACCTCAAAAAAAATACTCCTCCCAAAATGCATCTTATATTTAACACCGGAGAAGTATTATGGAAACTCATCATATGCTTTTAATGATAACCTTGCTGCAAAATAAACATTGACCTTATATTTTGTTGTGTGAGAAACTCCGATTGTTTAGATAAACATAAAAAAAAGTTTGTTTAGATAAGATACATCAAATTACTAAAACCCGAAAGATACAACAAAAAGCAAAATTTCCAACACAGATCATGACACTGAGATATATTCCCAAGACATTTCACAGAAATTTCATATATAACCGTGTCAGGCATGTTGGAGCAATGTTCCCGATCATTCTGGATAGTGATTTATATAATGCGATCTCAGTAACAAAGAGACATGACCCGTATTAGCATCATCAAACCACTTATGCAATAAAACTCATGCCTGAATAAACAGCAGTTATCTAAAATCTGCAATCAGTAAGACTCACTGCTCTCATGCAGTCAACTTCGCCATTAGACAAAATGTTAAAGTTGGGACACTTTGATATTTTATACTAGCCAATATCTATTAATTCAACACCAAATCTAGAAAGCGATTAGAAAGCATGACATGAACATTTTTCCCCCCTTTCGTTTTTTGGTGGATATGTTATGACATGGGTTATTCTCACACTTGCCACTAGCATAAGGTGAATTAACGAACTTGCTTTGGGGAAATCACGAACAGGTTTCCTTTATCTAGGAAGACCAATCGCAGGATCTTATGTTCAGTATACAGTCGGACTTTCAGATTTGCAAACATGAAGTCATGTATGGTGAGCGTTGGAAACAAAAATTCTCAAACCAGAATCAACTATAGTATCTACAAATTCGCAAATTTCCCTTGCATTTCATCAAACAGTTGTCAGACAGAAAAGCGAGAGAGAAAGGCATACTCGGAGCAGCTATCGAGCAGTCTCTCAATATCGTCTCCACCACCCACTGTGGAATCCCCTAATTTGGCTTCCTCCATCTTCTCAATCTCCTTCATCCATAGACTCGCGTGTATCCTCTGCTTCTTCAACCGATAATCCTTCTTCATATTCTCGACGCTGTAAAGCGCACCATTACCACCCTCACGCAGCTTTTCCTGCTGCTGAGCCTTCGACCCTTTTCGCCTCTCGTTCCAATTTTCGTTCATGTCCTCAACAAAAGCCTTCGTCTCCGCATCAACATCTGCCGAAAGAACCGTCGTGGAGTCCTCTGAAGGGAAATTCACGTCGGTCTCCCACGGAGCCCGGGCCTTCGGCGTCAGGTCCTCCGGTAGCCAAGCAGCTTCCCAAGCCTCATTCCACTCATCTTCTCCATTCTTGGAGCCACGGCTTGAAGAAGACCAGAATCTCGCGGAAAATTCCCGAGGTGAATTCAGATGAGGCTTCGACACTAGCTCACTGAAACGTTTCAATATCGAACCAGTGCCTCCAATTCGCCGTAAAGCATGCATGATTCGAATTTTTGTCCGCGCTTTTAACCCCAAAACAGCTGATTACCCATGAATCAGACTCCTCGCCGCTCCCAACATCGCAGGATCCGACAGGTCGAGACACCAGTGGACAAGAGGAAGACAATCACGACGGTGGAATTTGTTGTGGGGCGCACGCCATGATTCCCCCGGAGAGGCTGTCGGCCCAATCATGAAGGCTTTTCTCGGATAAGAGTCTTGGTTCTTTTCGGCATAGAGAATTTTTGGTCAATTATGAATCCTTGATTTTTTTTCCAGTGAAAAAAAAAAAAGGAATCATTGATTTTTAAGGAAAATATATTAACTACCTGAAGCCAAAGAAAAAAACTACCTTTCTATTATACCTAAATTAAAAGAAAAGGTTAAGGTTTAATTTTATCCCAAAAGTTTTAGTTAACGAGCTATCTTTATACAAAAGTTTTTTTAAAGGTAGTCTTGTCTCAAAGGCATTAAAAACATAATAATGTTACTTCCACCATTTAAAATGTTAATTTTAATCGTTAAATTTGATTGTTGTGTACATCTGGCCTCCATACATGACATCTCGTCATCTAAAGCTAATAATTTCTTGTCAACTCACTTCTCTCACAACATTTATAATCCATGTTCTCCTATTACCATCCTCTTCCTTCAATACTCCCAAATCCAAGTAAACTCAACCACCCCCTTCTTCGTGCTCATCTTCTCTGTTCTAACTAGAATCATCCTTTGTTATGTGAGTCTAAACCTCCAAGCTTGCAGCATGTGAAGATTAATTGCGGGGGTGGTGGGGTGATGATGACAATGGTGGAGAATGTGAAAGGAGTGATAGGACACGCTTGGGACGGCGTCCCTATTGAAGCCGAGGAATCAGACAACCTAGTGAGTGTGACGATGCTAGAGAAGTGGAGAGAGGTGTGGTTTAGATAAAGAATATAATAGGAATAGAAATGAATTTTGTGAGGCGCACTGTTCAAGGCCCTTTGTTATTCTTTATATAGACAGGGTATTAACCCTAATTTACAGGAGAAGCTTACATGTGTACACTGTACAACACTCATGGAATATACTAGAAGTAATTACAGTCAGTTGGGCTTTATATATCTGGGCTTATACATTGGACCCATTACATTCTTAACATTCCCCGTCAAACTGGGCCTTGGTGAATCTATAAGGCCTAGTTTGTCTCTAAACGACCGAAACTTGGAATGAGATAGGGCCTTGGTGAAGACATCAGCTAATTGCTCGGAAGAAGGATTATATCGAACTGTGAGCTTCCGGTCTAACACTCTATCTCTCAGATAATGAACATCAAGTTCTATGTGTTTCGACCGAGCATGATAAATTGGGTTTGATGCTAAGGCAGCTACACTCAAGTTGTCGCACCAGGCAATGGGAGGATGTTTTAGGTAGACACTAAGTTCCCCGAACAGAGATTGAAACCACGTGAGTTTTGTAGCTAAATTTGCGAGAGCCCGATATTCTGATTCAGCTGAGGATCATGCTACTACATGCTACTTTTTGGCGGACCAGGAAATTAACAAATCTCCCAAGAAGACACAATATCCGCTGATCGAACGCCTATCATCAGTGCAAGCCACCCAGTCGGCATCTGAGAAGCCCTGCAAATTGAGGTGAGTACTCGGTTTAATATGTAGAGCTAGATTTATAGTCCCCTTCAGTTATCTGAGAATCCGTTTGAGTGCTTGCCAATGTAAATCAGTAGGTGAGGAAAGAAACTGACTCAACTTGTTGACTGCGAAGGTAATGTCGGGCCGAGTATTAATCAGATATTGTAGAGCCCCAATTGCTTGTCTGAACTCGGTGGGATTATTGAGAGCTGACCCTTCATCTTTGGCATAGTGTCTATTTATCACCATAGGTGTCGATACTGATGAGCAATTTGTCATATGGAATCTGTCAAGGAGTGCTGAAATATATTTGCTCTGTTTCAAATATAAGCCTGTATCATCTCTAAATGCCTCAATGCCCAGGAAATGATGAAGTCTTCCTAGATCTTTTAGAGCAAACCGTGAATTAAGTTGTTTAATAAACAACTCAAGTCCTTCGGGTGAATTTCCTTGTGACCACAATATCATCCACATAAACCAAAACAAACATAACAAATTGCTTGTGTTTGAGAAAGAACAAAGAAGTATCGCATTTAGAATGACAGAAGCCCCAGTTCAACAAGGTAGATCTTAGTTTTCCAAACCAAGCTCTAGGTGCTTGTCTTAATCCACAGAGTGCTTTTCTCAGTAGGCAGACATGATTAGGAAACTTAGAAGATACAAAGCCTTCAGGTTGCTTCATTAAGACTTGCTCTTGTAAGTCACTATTTAGGAAGGCATTGTTAATATCTAGTTGTCTAATTTTCCATCCAAAGGTAACAGCTAGAGATAGTACAAACCTCAAGGTAGAAGTTTTTAGCACGGGACTAAAGGTCTCATCAAAGTCTTCCCCAAACCTTTGTTGAAAACCTTTTGCAACTAGCCTTGCTTTAGGTTTGTAGCCAGATCCGTCAGGCAGTTGTTTTGCCTTGAAAACCCATTTACAATCAACAAGTTTCTTCTATCCAGTGTAAGGAATCAGATCCCATGTATGATTCATCATAAGAGCCTTGTACTCATTCGACATTGCTTGCTGCTACTGTGGAGAATCAAGTGCCTCTTGTACAGTTATAGGCTCTTTTAGAGTAACTATCTCTGTTGTTACAGCTCCAATGTAGGGAAATTTGGGTTTGTGAATCCCTGCTTTACTTTGAGTCACCATTTGATGTCTGATTGGAGAATTATTTCCTGAGGAAGATTCTGTTGTCTGAGTGTTCTCTTCAGGATTCTGTTGATTAGTAGAGACTTGCTCACTTACTTCTTCATGCTCTGTTTGTGTAGAATCACGTTCCATGATTGGAAGATCAGCAATGCGATCTGAGGTATCTTGTGAATCATTGAGGCTACTACATTGAGTGTTGTTATCACCATTATCAACTGGACAATAGCTCGTTAGAGAGCACAGAGTAGATTGGAAGAAGGATTTTGGGTGCACTTCTTCAACAGGTACCTCTTTCTTGTTTAGAAAACCTATAACAAAAGGAAAATCATGTTCATTAAAAACTACATGACGAGAAATGTAAACTCTTCCCGTAGGACTTAGGCACTTATATCCTTTGTGATTGTTGCTATAACCAATGAAGACACACTTAGTTGTTCTGAACTGCAATTTATGATCATTATAGGGTCTAAGGCATGGATAGCATGCTGTTCCAAAAATTTTGAGATGTTCATAGTCTGGAAGCTTGCCAGTAAGTTTGAAGAAGGGTGAGATCCCTCTTAGAACCATTGATGGTAACCGATTAATTAATTCAGTTGTTGTATGAAAAGCTTCCCACCAATAGAATAAGGGCATCTTAGCTTGAGCTAGGAGAGTCAGACCCATTTCCACTATGTGCCTATGTTTCCTTTCTGCTCTCCTATTTTATGGAGATGTGTGTGGGCAATAATGTCTAAAATGTATGCTTGATTCTTGTAAAACCTTAGAGAACTTCCTATATTCACCTCCCCAGTCTTTGAACAATTTTGATCTTACTTTCAAACTATTTTTCAGCAAAATTCTTAAACTGAACAAACATGTGAAGAGCCTCATCCTTGGTTTTTAAAGGAAAAATCCAAGAGTATCTGCTATAATCATCAATAAAGAGAATATAATATCAGAAACCATTCATGGATTGGAGTGGTGAGGGTCCCCAAAGATCAGTGTGTATTAACTCAAGTGGTTTAGAAGCATGTGAGGTCGACACTTTGAATGGTAGAGAATGCATTTTCCCATACTTGCAAGATTCACAAAAACTAGGCTCACTTTCATTACTGGAAGATATTTTCAGATTACATTCAGCTATAATTCTGTTTAGAATCTTGTCACTAGGGTGACCAAGTCTACAATGCCAAAAGGTTTTACTAAAGGCTTTAAAACTAGATGCTGTGTTAACAGCTTCTTCAGCAACTAAAATGAGTTCTTCTTGTCTTCCTTTCCTCTTCAAGTCTAGAACTCGGAACATGCCCCCACTACTTGGCTTTCCCTGTAGTATTAACTGCCTTGTCACCTGATCCTTCACAGAAACACCATTAGTGTTAAAAATCACATCAGCTTTATTGTCATGAGCCACTTGATACACGCTGAGTAAATTCCTTTTGATTTCAGGAGTATAAAGTATTCTATTCAGCTTAACTTCTATATTACTGACATTTTTAATAGTTGAGGAACCCACTTTTTCTACACCTAGTTTAAACCCATCTCCAACCACAATATTTATCTTACCATTTGTTTCAGTAGCATTGTCAATTTTGTTGATATCATTAGTCACATGACTTGTTGCTCCACTATCCATGTACCTGGCATTATCATTCACTACCTCTGGAGTTGCCCAATAAGCACTGTCCAGATTAGCGTAGGTGGTTCTCTGCTGCTTCCGGCTACCAGAAGGCACAAAGGAGCGGTCATAACGGTAAAAACAGTTCTCAACCACATGACCGACCCTGCTGCAGAGTTGACATTTTGGTGGACCATCGTCATTGTTGTTGTTTCTCCCAGAACCTCCACGTTCATTTCGACCTCTACCACGTCTTCCTCTATTTCCACAACCACCATGCCAGTTGCTTCTAGGGAAAGAACTGCTGTTTGACCATGAGGTGAAGGGATCATCAAGCCGAACAGAGTTTGCAAAATGAGATGAAGTGTCAGAAATAAGTTGAAGCTGCTCTAGTCGGCTCTCAAAGGTAAAGAGTTGAGACTGCATCTCAATCCAACTTAACTCATTAGCACGGTTGGAAAGTTGAACCACAATGGGGTTGTAATCACCATCCAGTCCAGCTAGAGCCTGAATGATGAGATCTGGCAACGGTATTGGACTACCAACGAGTGAGAGCTGTTCTGCCAGATTCTTCATTTTTGCCAAGTATTCAGACATCTTCATGGAACCTTTTCTTGTCCTTTGTAGTTCAGAACGGAGAAGAAGAAGACGAGATTTGGTTTAAGCACCAGCAATCTCCTTTGCAGCACACCAGAGATCAGCTGAGGTGGAGACTGAGGTCATTTCGGTAGAAATTTCGATGGTCATGGTATTAAGAAGCCATCCAAAAAGGAGCTGGTCGGCTGCTACCTAGTCTTCAAAGGCTGGGTTGATCTTCGTT